AAACAGATCAAAGAACAGTCTGAACGACAGTCCGAACGACAGACAGAGGAGTTAAAACAGATCAAAGAACAGTCCGAACGACAGTCCGAACGACAGACAGAAGAGTTAAAACAACAGATCAAGGAACAGTCCGAACGACAGACAGAGGAGTTAAAACAGATCAAGGACCAGCTAAAACACGTAAAATTGGAAGTGGCAGAACAGATTGAAGAACAGTCAACAAGAATAGAAATGATCGAACAGAAACTTGATCGTCAGACCGTTGAGGTAGATCACAAGATAGACAAATTGAAGCGAGAATTGGAGCAATCCAAAAAAAATGGCCATGCCGTTAGATCACGCATCTGGAAGAACTTTGAAGGTACCAGCATTTGACGGAGAGATGTCCTGGAACGTTTATAAAACCCAGTTCGAAGCAGCGGCAACTAGTAACTGTTGGAACGGAAAAGAACGAGCAACAGCACTGATACTGGCCCTGCGAGGTTCAGCAGCAGAGGTTCTTCAGACGATTCCGGCGGAGAACCACTTCAACTATGAAGTTCTGGTTAGCGCGTTGGATTTACGTTATGGTGAAGAACACATGAAGCAGATTTATCGGTCTCAACTTAGAAACAGAACGCAACGATCTGGTGAATCCATTCAGCAGCTGGCACAAGATATCGAACGGTTGACATTGTTGTCGTATCCAACATCAGACCCCGAGCACAGAGACGAAACTGCCCTGGATACGTTTATCAAAGCCCTTCGTGATTCGGAACTCAAGCAATCCCTTTTCTTGTCAGATAAACGAAAACTCAAGGATGCCGTTGCGCACAGTCTCACTTTTGAATCGGCAAAGCAAGCATCAAAAAGTGACGTACGTCTACGCCAAGTACATGAAGAATGCTCTTGCCAGAAGGTGATTGTGAAACGCGAACCCCAACAGCATGGTGTACCCCAATGCTGGATTTGTGGCGAAAAAGGCCATCTACGTCGTGATTGTAAACACCGCCTAAAAGATAACTACTGCCGAAATTGCGCGACAAGATGGCGCAAAAGAAGAGAAGATGATCCCGTATCACGATCGGCCCCTTCTAACGAAGGGGCGGGAAAACTAATAAGAGCCAACTTTGTGGGGCAGAGGTTGGCTAATAGAATTGACGCCCCCAGTACCGTAATTAACGTTTCCAGACTACATCGAAATCGAAACGATTTATGGCTGAACGGAAAAGTTGATCAACGAGAATGCGTAATTACAGTCGACACCG